GGGTTGCCGTTGACAAGCCACTGCACCAGCCCTTGGTTTTGCGTCACATCGCTAGTGTAATTGTCGTTGAAGCCGAAGGTCAAAGATTCGGGCATCTCCTGGGGAACAATCGTCTTGGCGTACGGAACGATATTGGCCTCGTCATAACAGCCCACCGGTAGAACGTTGCCGGTCGAGTTGGGCTGCCCTGTGGGAGCGCCAGCATATCGGAAAATGCTCCTGATGTTCGCCGCGTTCGCGTTGGGGCCATCACATCGACCACCAGTACCTACTCGCCACCAGTAATTACCAATAGGCTCGGTTGCGTTGATAATGACCTCATAACGTTGACCTGGTGACCATGTTAGTGAAACGTTCCCCAACAATAGTTATCGTGGGCGCATTCTCGTGGGTGGGGGGCGCGTTGCACGAACAGATGTTGTGAGCGTCGCAAAGAACTGACAGATACGAAATGATTCGGGTCAACTTACCGACCGAGAGAACGAGGTTGTCGGTCTCGAATGGTTCAATGGGTGTGAAATCGGCAGAAATGACCTTGAACTTATGCCCATCGAGACCGACATGGAGGTAGTTGTTGATGCCGGTGTTGACTAGGCGCAGCAAATGCGCCTTTCCTGGGGTAAGGATTGTCTCTGCGTAACTTCCTCCGGCGGCTGATGTCATCGTGCCGTTGATGAGAACATTGTCCGCAACTGGAGGACCGTTGGCGTGGACAGCTGCAGCGTTCACTGTGAAAGTGGTCGCGTGGAACCAATCTGTCATTGGAAGCGCACCAAGATCAATGTCGTAGTTCGCTGTTGCTGGTCCTCGGATGACCAAGGGACCCACGAGGCCATCGCCGTACTGCACAGAGTAATGCGAATGATACCACTATGACAGTCAGCCCAGTTCCACCCATGTAATGCGTAACGGAAATTAACTTACGGTTGTGCCGTACTGCGTGGCCTTGAACTTGTAGACCTTGGAGTCACCAGGCGCGATAGGGCATTCGGTGATACCGTTCACTCCGTCTTGCTCGTTTGAACCAAGTTGCCTGAGACCATGCCAGTGCAGCCCAGTACCGTTGCTTTGGAGGTTGTTAGTTACGGTGATCTCAAGATCATCGCCCCAATCGGCCAAGATAGTCTGTAATATATTAGCAAGGAAACGAGATGGCTCAAAGTGTCCTACTTACAGGTCCTGGCGTTTGACCATTGATCAGTAGAATTGGCCTCTCAAACCCATCCGGGGCTCCAGTGGCGTTCGAGATGGTCAAATGATACTTGACAGTCTTGCCCGTGTTTGGCCAATGAAGGTCCATATCTGTGTCGATACTGAAGTCGCCATTCCAGCACCCTCTCGACTGCGGGCCATGGTTACAATTTGTCTTGTAGCCGTCTCGTCTTTCGCGCCCGCTCCAAAGACCACTCTTCTTCCATGGGACTTCGGGTAGCCTGGGTGTGAGGTGCTCGACGGATGGCACGGCGAACGAAGTCACTGACGGAAGGAAAAGCCCTAGGGCGGTAGCCAATCTGAAGATTGAGACAACCATTGTGGATTATGGAAGGAGGAACGAAAGAACGTAGATGTAAACGACAGCTGCCAGACCCTTTACGCACGGGACCAACGAGTGCAGATAGGCGCAGATCAAGCTGTAAACGAAAAGCGAAGGCTGGCTGGTTTGATTGACAAAGGGTGGTACGATAGATTATATCCCCAGCATGGCAACATTGCCCTGCCTCTCTAGTGGACCGATTGATCGCCCGAGAGACTACCGATGCCAGCAGTGGAGAGTTCCCACCACTAGTCAATGGTATGATCACTCCATGTAGAGACTGTTGCCGCAAGAAGCGTCCAAGATCGCCATGAGCGCGGTTTACGGCCCATGAACGGTAAGGGCGTGGGCTTAGTATGAGGGCCTGCCCAGAGCTGTGAGCATAAGAGACGGCTACATTTCAGCCCTAAGTAGATGAACGGAGAATTTTAAGTGGTCGCTTTCGTCGCAAATGTCGGCATAGCTCGTGTTACACGACTGAATGCAGCTAGACCTACCGAGCCTCGGCGGCAGATGGACTGAACAGAGCGGCCTGGATACTTGGTAGAGCTGCAGCAAGTGCTGAGTCGTACATGGCGGCGGCAGCCTCAGCAGGCTGTGATGCAGCAGCAAGCGGTGATGTGCCTTGGGTCGCGCAGAAAGTGGGGCATGCAAGGCGTCGGTTGACATGTAGATACAGGGAGTGGATGCCGCTATGGGTAGTGTGCAGAACAATCGCCCGAGCTAACCGTGGAGTTGAGAGCCGTCCCCGGTGCTTGTAAAGCTTGATGGTCGTGAAGCGAGAGGAAGAAGGATCCCAGAAGCGCAAGCGAGCCAACATGTCGAGACGATCTGAGCTAATTGCCGCTAACGCTAGGCCGTGCATGGACTAGTCTGCCATGCTGTGTCGGAGTTCGTGAGGGGGGCCGGACCTCATGGACCGACCACAACATCACCACATCGCAAATCTGACCACTGAGAACACGTTTTTCTGGAGGGATGTGTGCTTTGCGCTTAGTTAGGCGCCCCAAATCGGCTGTAATCGCCTCCTTCAAAACGTGCCGTACCGTTTTCATGACGTTCAGGACCGCAATCAGACTATTGACATGCACCACAGCTGCACCGGCAGTCTTGGGTAGCCACAGGCGCCATAGTGTCGGCGATGTCTTCATGTCTCGAATGATATCGCGATGTCTCAGTGTTGCCACTCTGGATACACGGCTGAAGCGGATGCATCCTTCCATATGTGGTCCGGGGGAAGGCAACATCGCCGGATGAAGACCATACGCCCATGCACTCTTCAAGATCGAGGGCATCTGCGTGGGAACATATTACCACTGCTGAGCAGTGGTAAAGCTAGTATTCTCCATGGGTGCGAAGATACCACAGAGTCGTTCCCACGTCATCCTTGCCAGCCCTGTGCATCGTCCGTTATCTGCATGTTGCCGGTACCAACACGAAGGTTTTGACAGAAGCGAACGGCTTACGGCCCAGTGTCAGATTTGGTGCAGTACCTTCCGCGTCGGTGGTTTGATCACTGACAGCAAAGAACGCCACAATATTGAAGGAATGAGGTGCGTCTGCTTACCTGCATAGTGCAGCGAAACTGACGTTCAGCTCGCACTCCTTCGTGGCATTTCCTCAGGTGAGAAGTCAGCCTTACAGCAATGCTCACCGAGTGTCGGTCAGAGACGAGCTTGGCTCAAACAAGTTTCCTGTTTGCCGACTACGTCTGTTCGCCAGTAGTGTTATTACGTTATGGGTAGCAAGCTACGACTACATGTGCCTTGAGGCTCAACTAGAACCTTGGTATACATCGCCCGCGGACCGACGTCCGATCATCTTCAAGGCATGCGCAAAGTTCAGAGAGCTATATTTGCGCCGAAGAACAAACTTCGGCGTCGACCTTCCGCCTCTAATTGGGACGCCCGGACTACCGAACCCCCACTTGTGGCTGCATGCCGTAAACCGTGGTTAAACCCGGTCACGGAGTTCGTCCTAGTGTGCCGCGGAGGTCTCGAGAGCAGGCTTCTCCATCAAGCCGGGTAAACAAGGCCCATGTCTGCACAGAGTCGTTTAATCTTGTCGGCTATCTCAATCAAATTGATCCTCGACATGGAATCAATCTTCCGACCTACATGGATCGCAGAAGCTGTATGACGTCCTTCATTAAATTACCCGGCAATTCGGATAGTGCAAATTAGCTACGCCCCAGCCACGATGTCTCCATAATCTACCATGTGGATGGCCACTGCCCACATATCAACGGAGGTACAAAGAAACTGGTTCCTAAAAGGATGCACTCGAAATTGTAACATGACCAGACTCATACATTTCTTTCGGTGCAAGGTCTTTAGAAGTACTCAGCACCGTGAATTCTTCTAGCAAAGTTGCTAATTTGGCAGAGACAACAAGTAACAAGGGAATTGCTCGTAGCTCAAGACCCGACGTCGAACACCAGGCGAGTAGGATGCTCCTTGTCGGCTGACCGAGCGCCCGGCTCTGGGATAGCTACCATCCGTTCCTGCATCATGCTCATCCCGCGGAGTCCCTGTGGCGACAAGATACCTAGTCCTTCCATGAAGATTAGCAGCAGGGTACCCAGACAACCGCGCGTCTACATGGATTACGAATGCATAATGCCTCAACGCCTACATCCGCCACTGTGTAACCTTTGTAGACAGCGAGTCTTCTGCAGGTGAACGTAGTAGCTTGTGATCGAAACGAGATTAAAGATGGCGGTGATGTGCAACCTCGCGTGCAAGTAAAACACATGGGGTGATCTAAGATGTTGTGATCCATGCGGCTGGTGCTACTAGCCACGTTAACTTCCGAGCGCTGTGTTACTTCGGTCGCCTCAGAAACGTGCTGTGCATGTTGGTCGGGTAGATGTGAGGCCCCGACAGAAAGGTACAATTGCGGAGTCGTCGATGCTGTGCAGCTGTCAGGTACGACTTACAACTTCAGAAAACCTTATGCGTGTCTTCGATAAGGCATGAAGTGTTTGACGTATAGGAATGGAGCCTGCTTTTGTCGATTCTTAGCATTAGATCGCGACAACGGCCGCTGTTCCCTTAGCAACATAGAGCGTCAGTCAAAGCGGTAGGCGCCGCTCATGCATAGCGCGAACGTCTGGCCTCAACAGATGCATGCAAGGTCGATCAGTGAAGAAACCTTATGTGGTGAAATTGCACATGGATGCCTTGAGGATGGGAGGTTGGGGAGGCTGGGCTACGACAAGGTCGGTTCCCGCAGCCATGCCTGGGGGAATTGCACATGGGATGTATACAAAGATGATATCATTGACGTATCAGCTTATCAAACTACAACATATGCGTCAAGAGTTTAGAACACGGATAACAATGAAAGACATGCGAGCTTGTGTAGTACTAAAGAGTTGACCGGGTGACGTGATTTGGTACGCACGTCTTCAAGCAACGGCTATCCGCCTCCTTCCGGTTTCCTTGCACAAACTCGCCTTCTGCCGTCATCTCTTTTTACAGCCCCGCGATAGATTCATCATCAGGCAGCCTCTCTGACCTTCGAAGATACGTATCTTTTCGACGAGCCTGCCGCTGGGTCCAACAAACCAGCTACAGTTGACTTTGTCGACAGTAGAATAAGTGGCCTGGCCATTGTTCTGTTTTCTGAGACCCGCAAGGACAAACACAGGAAACCCACTTCCCCACGTCCGCGCTCTCAGTTCCAGAATGCCAACAAGGTCGTTGCGAGTGAGCAACGAGGTCCAGTGTTTGCTTCGATATCGCAAGAGCTGCTCTAACGACTCAACATTAGTGTCTGGATCGTCGTTGAAAGTAACCTTGATGTCCACTGGATGGTTGATGAGAAGTCGTAAGAGTGGTATGAGGTCGGTGGTTTGAAATCCGTTGTATCTTCCTTGTCCAACACCGAGATGTACATCTGTCACAGGCAGGAACTTATCTTGACGATCGACGTCGATCTTCGTGGTAATGAGAAACGTCTCGATGTAGCGGCATGCGTCGTCGATGTTAACGATATGCTGGGATAGCAGCAATGGTCGGAATTCGCATCTTATCTGAGCGCATGTGTTTGTAAATTGGAGAAGTGACATGTGGCCTCGGCTGACTGGATGTGGTGTATTTGCTAGGAGGTAACCGTAGATTTTGTTTCGTAGTTCTAAAGAAATTCAGCAAACTACTGTCACTCATCAGTCTACGATATCTTACCACCTGGAAGGTTCAGCAATGGAGAGATGTCTTTGGATGGATGTACGGTAGCGACATGTTGCGCATCGTCGGAGAATTGATCTTGTTGAGGACTCGTCATGGTGAATGCTGATGATATGCCTATTGACAGCGGCTCTGGCCACAGTTTATACCTTTGGTGTTTGTATAGGGGAAATCTCTGGAAACCAAAGGTCATCAGAAGACCTTCTCTCCTCCTCTTCGAGCAAATAACAATTATTTCAATGCCCACCAGTCATGGACTGGGATGTACTAGATCAGTCAAGTCACATATTTGAAGACCTCCTGGGGCCACGGAGAGCCTAACGTTTTCGGAATCTCTTTGTTAGGTATGCAGCGTCTGACCCGTGCTTCTCTCGATTTTCGTTCATATGATAGCGATAGAGAGATTTGTATGATGTGTGTGATGCCATGATATTCTCCATATGTACACAGCCGCCGTTGCTTCGCTCGTTTCTCTTCCGATGCTCAGGCTTAGAACTCGGAGATCATGTCGCCCCTCCGCTTGCCGCGCATGTCCCACTTGCCCTGTAAATTTTCGTCAGCATCCATACGTCTCTCTGCAATATACGCAGTGGCTCGAATGCCGCTTCCTCAACCACCCAAATGCTGCTTGTCCAAACTCACTTCAGTCATGTATCCAGCCGTACCCAGCATAGCGGGCACCATAACGACGTAGGCGAACGTGAGCCAAGCTGTGCGCTTCGTCCAGCGGAAGTACTTGTGGCGGTTGACAGTCATGTCTGTTCCTCGTCAGTACCGCGTATTGCGTATCCTCCTCCTCCATTGCCCATGTCACGACTCTTGCGCCTTTGAGGCCATTCCTTCTTTCCAATGCGCCGGGTTTCGGGGTACCATAGAGGTCTTCAGGATGCGGGGTCGGTGGTGAACGTACTGGCCCATTTGATAATGGCGGGATCCGCGTGGATCACTGCGTACTGTTAGCGATTGCGCCTCCAATGGTCCTCCTCGCGATTATACGCACTGCCGTGGTTGTGACCCGCCATGCGGCGGAAAGTTGGCTGCATGTTTGCGGACTCTTGCGCGTGTCGAGGTGTTGCGCAGTTGGTGAGCTTGTGGTTGACCAGGTGCGCGCGATGAGGTCGGCAGAGTCGCGGCAGGTGCCGCCGGGTCTTGGCGCTTCTGGACATCATCATGAGCAGTCACCAAACAACAACATGCTATATGAAATGTTCTCTCGAGACATGGAATAAGCTCTGCGTGCTGTCGGAGTAGTTCAGGAGTTCTTCAAAGTCGCCTTGTCTTACGCTCAGGTCTCTGCAACGGCATGTTCTATCCACGCGACAACCCTTAACAATATCTCAACCGACTTACCCCGTCTTACACACCCTCAATCTCTGCAAAACTACTACATATAGTAATTGTCTATGCCTCGTTCCTGCTTCTCATCGATACTGCGGAGAGTCGGCGAAACCGACACTAGATACATGGATGCCCGAGTGCCCGAGCGGGCAGCCAACCACCGATGGGCGCTGAACGCCGAAGCTTGTGACGGCATCAGATAAATCCGTCCAAGAACCTCGGTGGTATTGAAAACTTCCTCTCATCACTGCGATTACTATCCAGAATCTGCTGTAATCGCAAAATCGAACTTCACATCGCTAAGATCCGTCGCAAACATGTCAAACCAGCAGGGAGCAAAGATCACCGTTCATTGGTAAGTTACCAAGTCTGTCACATGCCTGTCATTCCCGCGCGGTCCCACCCACCGCATTGCGCCATCGCCATCAGCAACCACGACTAATCAGCCAAATAGGTTGAACAAATCCCGTGGCCAGCGCGTCGTATGGCTGCTCGAGGAGCTTGGCCTTGAGTACGACATCGCGGTGCACAAGCGCGATGAGAACAAGCGCGCGGGTCCCGAGCTAAAGGCCATCCATCCTTTGGGGAAATCACCATGTGTTACCATCAGGCCCGCAAACTCTGAGAAGGACATTGTTATCGCTGAGAGTGAGACAATTATGGAGTACATTTGCGACCACTTTGGCAAGGAGTTGGTTCCCAAGCGGTACCCTGAGGGACAGGAGGGTGTGCTTGGCGCTGAGACTGAGGAGTGGATGAGGTATAAGGTCAGATAGATTTAGAGGTCGACTATCAACAGGACAAAACAGCTAACATGTATGCAGTTCCTGATGGACTACACCGAGGGTAGTCTCTTCACCATCCTGATCTTGGCGCTAGTCACCGGAAGTAGGTATATCCATGCTAATATGTCAACGCCATTTCACTAACCATGACATAGACATCAAAAACGCCCCCGTCCCCTTCTTCCTCAAGCCCATCACCAACGGCGTCGCCGGCAAGATCGACTCCGGCTTCGTCGATCCAGAGCTGAAGACGCACTTCGACTTCCTCGAGGACTACCTCGTCAACTCTCCTAGCAAGGGCGAGTTCTTCTGCAGCGACAAGCTGACCGCTGCGGTAAGTCCTGGCTGTACGAATTGCATGTGAGACAAATGCTGACTTCGTACCTCTACCTCTGCAGGATATCATGATTCACTTTGGACTTGAGGGCGCGACGCAGAGGCTCCCGTTGAGTGAGACGAGTTACCCCAAGTTGTATGAATACATGAGGAGGCTGCAGAAGAGGGATGGGTATATGAGTGCTGCGAAGAGGGTGGAGGAGGCGAGTGGAGAGAAGTATGTTCCGTTTAGTGACGCGAAGTTGTAGATAACGTCCTGGTTTCAAGACATGTCAATTTGACGTTACAACGTTCACAGTACTGCGAGATCAATCTGGCTAGCTGATAAGAGGCATTTCAGTCTATGTTCTATGGCAAAATAATCTAGCGAGCGTCTATATACAAAAGAAAGCGCGATCTGACCCTAAACGCCATCATCTACTCACAAATGAACGATCACCTGCACCTAATCCTTGCGAGACACTACCCACAATGTCACTTCACACCGAACAACCATCCCTGCAACCCATACAACCCTAGTACCCACCCGTAGACATCGGGTACCCACTCGTAGCCGTAGGGTACGCACTCGCACTCGCCATCGACGAAGCCTCACCATCCCCAGTCGCCTTGTAAGGAATCCCACACCTCTTCGCGCAACTCTCCACAATCGCCGTGAAATCGCTCGTCAACTGCGGCCTCAACCCCGCAATCTGTTCCGGCGTCAAAAACTCACTGTAACCCGCACTCGCCTCAAGAACCTCATCCGGCGTACCAGAGAAGAAACCCCTAGCAGCTTCCACACGCCCAGGGTCGTTGACATCGAAGCCCGCGACGAAAACAGCGGGCTCGCATTCGGGGTTGAATTGCCAGTGAATCAGGCCCTTGGGGAAGAGCATGCCCGTGTAGTTGGACAGCGTAGTTTCGATCTGTTTGTAAGGTCCGCGGACGGGCGGTGCACCGCCGACTACATTTCCGAAACCGCTGTCGTTTTCGAGGAGGAGGGCTCCGATTAGTGTGCCTTGGGTCACGGTGAGGAACTCGTTGGAGCGGGGGTGCCAATGCGGCGTGTTGAGGCCACACGGGTTGACGAAACCCACGGCTGCTGCGAGGCCGGTGGAGCCCAGCGCGGGGAAGTTGTTGATGGTGGACAGGAAGATGGAGCCGGCGGTGGGGGGTGTTACGGTGTTGTTGATGAATTGGAAGGTGTCGTTTGCGGCGTTGGGGGGGTTGGGGAAGAGGATTGCTTCGCGGGCGGTTTCGGATTGGGCGAGGAGGAGGGCGTTGCGTTGGGTTGTTAGTTCGGCGGCGGTGAGGGCGTTGACGGTGTTGGGGTTTATGGCTCGTTTTGAGTGGTAAGGGGGGCCGGGGGCGATTGGGTTGGCTACTGCGAGGGTAGCCAGGAGGGTGGTGATGAGGATGGAGTGCATGTTGCTGGTTGTGTTGTTCTGAATGGGGTTGGTTGAGAAGATGAGAGTGTGGTGAGGAGCTTCTGGCAGGACGCTGGCTGTCCTTATATGCCTCTCCAAAACCTTCTTGACCGGCAACCTTCCTTCTCGTTCTCACTTCAACTTGTCGTCAAGGCCTTGTGTACGCCCGGTCTAAATTCAGCCACGTCTGATCACACACACTTCAAACCCAACAATTTCTATCCGTGTGACACTAGAAATGATACCGAATACAGCGAAATTCCACACTTATTGGACGTGCTTGTTCTCATGGCTAGGAACTTCACATCAGCAGTTCGACTATGAATGCCTAAACGTGTGCAAAATAGACGAGACATGATGTAGGTGGTAGTGGTGATGGTACAAGGACGGACGCCTACATGACTGTGAGAATCAATAAGCATTGGATGCCTTGGTGGGCTTGAGTCCAAGGCCACCGCGGGAGCTTGTGTTCATCAAATGACTTTCAGAGCTTTGGTCTTGATTGTTGAAGACGAAGAGTTGACTGGGTAGTTCGCCCTTAAATTTCGAGCACACCGATGGAGGACTCCTAGGGCTACGCTGCTGGTGTAATGCTCTTGGCTGTTGTCACCCCAAACCACAGTGGTGTTTGCGATGGAATGTGCATTTTCTAGAACTCGTAAACATGACTCTTCTTGTGCGCACTGTTCGAGTGCACACGCGTTTGGGGTAAGAGATGGCGTTATCATGACGTTTTCTCGGTGAAGATTTCACTCTTGACTGCCATGTTCGTCAGTGCCCCGTCAGTGCCCAATGCGATGAAGCATCTCTTCAAAACATGCAGCCCACACTGACCTTGCTTCAGACCAAGCTCGAGCTATACACCAATGGACGCGTTACACGTGACCTCCAATACGAAAGGGTGTTGTTGAGTGAGCAGATGCCAACGCTGTCGTCGGCACCTTCCGCTCGATCACCAATACTCCACGTCTTTTCGTGCGTATGAGTCCGTTTGAGATTGATATGGATACTGTACTCGTGATCAACTTCGTCTCCACGAAGCCCAAAATCACTGTAAGCAAGCCGTATGTCTTGGCCGTGACCTTAAGCTTACGCCACTTCGCCCTAAACTGTTCACTCGCGTATCAAAGCCACCTGTCGAAGCCACTTTCGGGCAATATCCCCCAGTCGCATGTGTTAGTTTCTGTGGCGGTGTTGGAGTCTCGCTTTCGCAATGACTGTGCGCAATT